ATGCTTCCTGCCTTGACTACATTTCAACTTGTGAAAGATTCGAGTCTGAAAGCAGACAGTTCCCACACCATGTCCTGTCAGTAATATATTTCTTTTCTGCATAACCGGTGTCTGTAGGCCTTTGTGGTCACTGCATAGAGGCACGACCACAGGACTATTTATACAGCAGCTCTGTCAGTCGGTAAAAACCTATTTAAAGACACAGTGACCTGGTCAATTTGGTTGCCACACTTTTTTAACCCCTTCTCTCCTGCAATACTCAAGCCCTTACCATGGCTGTACCTGCTGCTCTGTGTCATGGATGTTAATCAATGGAGGGGACCGGTTAGCTCGGATGGCAGGTTTGCAATGCAGCGTGATGCCAACAGCATGGGTTCAATTCCTACTGAGGTTACCATGAATGACTCTCCTTCTCAACCTCTCCCCTCACCTGAGGCATGGTGACCCTCAGGTTAAACCACCACCAGCCATCTCTCTCTCTCTCTCTCTAATGAGAGAGCAGTCCTATGGTCTGGTAAGACTTTGCTTTTATTCATAGAGTCATAGAGTTATACAGCATGGAAACAGACCCTTTGGTCCATGCTGACCAAATATACTAAATTCACATAATCCCATTTGCCAGCATTTGGCCCATATCCCTCTAAACCCTTCCTATTTATATACCCATCCAGGTGCCTTTTAAATGTTGTCATTGTACCAGCCTCCACCACTTCCTCTGGCAGCTCATTCCATACACGCACCATCCTCTGTGTGAAAAAGTTACTCCTCAGGTCCCTTTCCCTTCTCACCTTAAATCTATTCCCCTACCCTAGGGAAAAGACCTTAGGTATTCAATCCATGATCTTTGTGGAATCCCACCTGATCCCACTGTTTGAGCCAAAACAACTCATTTGATCCAAAAAAATAGATCAAGGCTGTGGGAGCTGCAAGCTAAGTATACCCAGGTTTCTCACTGTCTCTTGCTCTCTCTTTGAGACTGTATTTGGGATACAACTGGATATAGAGAAGTTCCTCCCCATGGGACTGGTATCCATTGGGTCGGCAGGCTTGGAATGGCTGCAACTGGGCTCAGAGCAGATGAAAGTTGGGAAATCACCGTGTAAGAGTTGAAAAAGCTGCTCTTGAAAAGCCATGCCATGAGGATTATCTGCACAAATTTATACCAGCACAGGTTTGAAGGTTGGTTAATATTTTGGATGTATCATTGCTTGTGATAGCATGGGAACGTCCATTAAACTGAAACAGCCTGTAATATACTGAACTTGCTGTCAAGTCTCTCAACGTACAATGTGTTGCCGAAGGCCGGAACACAGACTGGTGGCTCGGTTAGGAAGATAATTTCATGGCAAACCATTTTGGGAGCCATTTGGGCTTTTCTGAAACTGCCGCTCTGTCACCACCATCTCAGTCGGACCAATAGCCATCCTGATGAAAAGACATAAGTCCAACTCTTGGGTGTGGCACTGTCACTCAACTCAAAACCCAGAGGCTGCAGTTAAGGCTTTTGTGGGGAATATGGCTTCAAATCCTACCACAGCGGCTGCTGGAATTTAAATTGGATGAATAGATCTGGAATGTAAAGCTGGTCTCACTAATGATGATTGTGTTACTGTTGGAAAAGCCCCACCTGATTCACTGTATGGAGAAGGAAATCTGCCGTCCTTACCTGGTCTGGTCTGCACATGACTTTGGCTGTCGGGGAGTGTGGGGGGTGAGGGGTTGCGGTCAGACGGGGACATGGAATTCAACCCGCAAACAGATCAGAGTGACGGGATAGACTCAAGGGGTTGAATGGCTTGCTTCTGCTCTGTTTGAGACAGAGAGTGAGAAAAGATTCAATTTGGGCAAAGGTGGAACTGAGACTCTGGAGTGACGTCAGTCATAGCCTGTGTGACAAATCACCTTACAATGCCCTGGAGCTGTGAAGAAAATGGTGGCCAGGCTCAAAGAACCAAAAACTCCACGCAACAGCCAAAACAAAAACAAAACACAAAGAGTTTCGCCAGCAGCGACTGAGGACAGGTTTGCTTTTATAGATGAGTGCCCTAGTGCATGGATGGCAATGCCCGCAGCTTGAGGAATGCCTCGCCAGGCAAGGTACCAAGATAGCTTCTGGCACCAGAGGAAGTGCCCCCCCCCCCCCCCCCCCCCCCCCCCCCCCCCCCCCCCCCCGCCCCCCCCCGGGCGCGGGCGCGCGGTGAGATAGTATCACAGCATGACATGGCACAGCAAGAGGCCATTCAGCCCACAAGACCCATGCTCTCTCTTCGGTGGAGCTGTCCAATTAGTCCCACCCTTCCCTGTTTGTGGAAAATGGGAGCAGGAGTAGGCCAGTCAGCCCTTTGAGTCTGTTCTTTCCCTGTAGCTCTGAAAGTTTTCTCCCTTGCAGTTAAGGGGGTGGCAGGAGAGTAACAATTGGAAGACAATTGTTAAAGGACTGTCTTATATATGAACACAAGTGAAGGGAACTGTTCTCTCCCCTACCCACTCAACACTGGTTCATTTGAAAGGTCAAAAATAGTTATACTTAAATCTTACAAACCCCTCCCCTCCCCAAACTCAGCGCACAAACTGCAAAGCTTGCTTTTTGAAGGTGTTGATACTGTCCAACTGGCTCCTCAGGCAGTTGTGTGCCACCTATCTGCTGTTCACTATGCAAAGACTTGAAGTCAAAGCACTTTGGTACCCTCGCCTCTTGGTAATCCTCCTGGTGGTGGCTGTTCCATGTGATTTTAGTGGCAGAATCAGGGAATCACAATAAATAAAGATGCCGCCCCTCGGCCTACAATTGGCTTTCTTCCTCTTCCACAGAACGGTTGAGTCCAGGGATATACTTCAGCAGCCTCTTCCTCAAGCTTTTCCTCCTGGACTTCCTCGGCAGCGTTCCAAAGGCGCTCTGGTTGTTGACTTTATCCCAAGTGGAAGAGGAGACTCCATTATGGCCAGCCTTGGCGCTTACACTCCTTGTCAGCAGCTTCTTGGCAAGTACCACCTCGCTGCCATGGCTGTCGTCGCTGCCCATGTCCAACGGGTCAAAGATACAAGTCTGATAAATGGGCTCGTCATCGCCCTCCATGGCACTGCTGCGGGTACTGCCACCGGAGCCGGGCTGCCTCTGGGCGGAAGGGCTGAGGTAATGTGTTTGGCCACAAAGGCTGGCTGTCACCGATTCGAAAGCGTCATAAACACTTGGATCTTTTGACACAATGCCTGGAGAGAGGGCAGAAACACCAGGCGGTGAGGTCGACAGACAAAGAGGGTTTGCCACTTTTATGCTGGTACTTGGGGCTCCAGGAGACTGGCACCCTTCCGCTCACGCAGCCAAGTCCAGCTCCATTATCCTCGTGACAGACTTGCAGAACCAGTCTCTTCACTGGGTCTACATATCTGCCATTGAATCAAGGGAACCAGCATTGGCAGAGTGCGCGTAGAGTGCCAGCTTACAAGACAAAGCCCTTCGCTACAATGGGCATCTTAAAGGAGTGGATTCAGACACATGGTGGTCCTCAAATAGGTGCCAAGGACACCATGCCAGGCCAGACTTAGACCACTGGGCACAAGTCTGCAGGCAATGAAGCCCTTTGGTACTACCTATGTAAGTGCCTGTTCTTTGCCTATGAGCCAAAACAATGAGAATCAGCAAATTACATGGGACTTAGAGCTATTCCAAAGACTCAACGTCAAAACCAGATGCCAGGTGTGTGACCAGCCAGACAGGAAGTGAGATAATCCCGCTGTTTTATAAGACATTGGCTGCAATGAGACCTTAGGCTGTTACATGCCACTCCAATCACCAGAAGAGAAAAACGAGATTGTAAAGAATGGAGAAGACAGTGAGCAGAAAGATTGAAGAGTTGGGAGGATTGGATTGAGGAGCGGAGATTGAAGGGAGGGTCAAGAGGTGACGGAATAGTGATGAGGATTCTATTGATCAGTACTTGAGCCCAAACTTTCTCCCAACTGTGACCCAGCTTTCCAGGCTTGAAAATGGTTGCAATCCTTCAGCGAGATTGCAGTGGGTGCAGGGGGAGATAAAAAGGCCTGGGAGAGCAGGGAGAGTGGAACTGGGAGAGCAGTAGTAAATGATGGTGGAGCTCCTAGGCGGCCGTTTCTGCCTCAGACTTCATATCCATGCAATTTCGGCATGCGACCCCATTTGGGGTGCTGACCCGTACTTTTGGATACCCTGCTACAGGCATGAGATAATGTGTAATGTAATAAGCTGTTTCACCTTGTCCAGAACTGTCCAACCAGGGGACATGGCGTTTGTTTGATGGATTGGGGGTGGGGATGTGCTAAATTCCAAGCTAATCTGCAGAAAGAGTATCTCAAATTGTCAGTTGATAGAACCGACTCATTTGGGAGCTGGTGGAAAGAGTGGGATTGATTCACTCAAAGGTGAATTTTTTTCAGGGTGCAATTTGACAACTGTTATCAATTGTTGGAAAAACCCATCAGTTTCACTATTGTCCTTCAGGGAAGGAAATCTGCCATCATTGCCTGGTCCGGCCTACATGTGACTCCAGACCCACAGCCAATGTGGTTGACTCTTAAACACCCTCTGAAATGGGCAAGCCACTCAATTCAAGGGGCATTCACAGATAAGCACCAAATGTTGGCCTTGCCCAGTGATGCCCATGTCCCATGAAAGGCTGGAGAGGAACAGGCCATTTTGTCCCATTATTTCCAAAGTCTTCCATCTCCTTATGTCATGTCTCAGTCTATTGTGGATTAGCTGATGGCAGTTCATTGCAATCATTAATCAACCACCTCCATTTATGGTTGAGCCATGAGACCATCAAGATGGTAGGTGAACCAGTTCCGTTCTGGTCTTCCTTTGTCCTATGATCTGAGGATGTCACAGTAAAGTCTGATCATGCCAACCCACTCACACTTTCCAACATGGCAGCCCATCCCCACCATTTTCCCGAGGTTTGGGGGTGGGGTGGGGTTTTGTAGTTCCATTCCCATTTCCAACCTCAAATCGAACAGCACAGACGAGGGCTGAAAGCCAGAATGGTCTCAACTGAACAACTTGGTTTGCAAAATCTGGGCACTGCTTGGCGTACTGCACCATCTGGCAGGTTAACTCCCTCATATCAATGAGCTGGTGAGGAGCTGGGTTCAACTCAAGAAAACAGCCGCTTGCCCAATCCCTGGTTGGGGCAACAGGATAACTGAGAGCTAATCATTGCAGGGCACTAGAATGGCAAATACAGATGGCTTTAATTCAAATGGTTGGAACTATCCTCAGGAGGCTTTCGATAAAGTTAAGAGCTTAGCATGTAATTAAAGCACATGCGATTGGCGGTAGTGTACTGACATAGATAGAGAACTGGTTGGCAGATACGAAATACAGAGTACGAACTAACAGGCGTTTTTCCAAGTGGCAGGCACTGACTAGTGGGGTATCACAGGGATTAGTGCTTGGATCCCAGTTATTCACAATATATATTAATGGATTCGGTGAGGGAACTGAACGTAATATCTCCAAATTTGCAGATGACACGAAGCTGGGTGGGAGGGTGAGCTGTGAGGAGAATGAAGAGATGTTGCAGTGTGATTGGGACACATTGAGTGAGTGGGTAAATACATGGCTGGTGCAGGATAATGTGGGTAAATGTGAGGTTATCCATGTTGGGAGCAAAAACAGATCAAGATTATGTTCTGAACGGTGATAGATTGGGAAAGGGGGAGGTGCAATGAGACCTGGGTGTCCTTCTACACCAGTCACTGAAAGTAAGCCTGCAGGGGCAGCAGGAGGTGAAGAAGGTAAATGGGATGTTGGCCTTCATAGTGAGAGGATTCAAGTACAGGGGCAGGGAAGGCTTGCTGCAATTGTACAGGACCTGAGGGATATCACACCTGGAGTATTGTGCACAGTTTTGGTCTCCTTATCTGAGGAAGGATGTTCTGGTGATGGAGGGAGTACAGTGAAGGTTTACCAGGACTGACGTATGAAGAGAGACTGATTCAGTTCGGACTATATTCACTGGTGTTTAGAAAAATGAGGGGGAATCTCATAGAAACCTATAAAATTCTAACAGGACTAGACAGGATAAACACGGGAAGGATGTCCCTGATGACTGGGGAGTCCAGATACAGGGTAGGCCTTTTAGGAGTGAGATGAGGAGAAATGTCTTCACCCAGAGAGTGGGGATCCTATGGAATTGTCTGGCACAGAAAGCGGTGGAGGCCAAAGCATTGAATGTTTTCAAGAAGTTAGATATGGTTCTTAGGGATAAAGGGATCAAAGGGTATGGGGAGAAAGTGGGAACAGGGTATTGAGTTCGATGATCAGGCATGAATGATACAGCAGGCTCGAAGGGCCGAACAGCCTACACCTGTTCCTATTCTCTATGATTCTGTGCTGGTGTTGTGCACAGGCAGTATCCAGTCAGTGGTGCGCACAAAATAGAATGATTAGCAGAGGGCAGGGGACAAATGGCTGAAAATGCACATGAAAATGCAGCAAGTGAAAGAAGAAAAAGTTGCTGGAATTCTGAAGGAGACTGCTTGAGGGGGGAGGGGAGGGCATTGGTACCAGTTTATGTTCAAGTATTCAGCGAGCCATGTGCAATGCTGTGCCACCGCTTGTGCTGTCACCTTGTATTGTAGCCTGGCACCTACATTCAGCAAATGCCGTAGACCGTTTGCCATTGCCACGGGCATTGACGACAAAGGCATGTTAAGCGCGCCAACTTTTGCGGGCCATTTTCGCGCCTTGTTCCGATGCCAATGCGGCGTTCAGCTCTCCAACATTGCAGGGTAAGTGGAGCAGACTGCTGCATGATTATGGGGGCATTTAGACAGAGCAGGGGAGTGCAAAGAAGATGCCAGCTGCCATGCTTTTCTTATTAAAAAAGGCTTCTCAGTTGTAACAGCCACTGTGCATCATGCTTGGGCCAATCGCATTGACACCAATGTGCCTGCTACAGGCAGTGGGCATTGTACCTGAGCCCTGCCAAACTGCCCACCAAAAAGGACTGTATGCAATGACCTTATCATCTGCGTGACAGTCCATTAAAATGTTCAAGCTGTGCAAAATCCTTTTAAAACTGTCCCCATCTCTCCAGCTAAAAGATTGCATGAAGATCCAAGGGGGCAAACTGGGGCAAATCCTAGGTTTGGACTTAGTCACAAGTGGCCCCAATGCCAAGACGAGGAACCTGTCAAAAGCTTAATGCTGTTTATTTTACGGTCAGTGTTTATTTGGTGGTGACTGTAACCCAGGACATAACACTCCACCAAGAAACCAAGTTCCCCAGTTCTATAAAACCTGAACTCCACACCTAAAGTAGCTTCGTCAGTCAACAGAAGACCACACACCTCCCTGTTCCTGGACGCTCCCCCTCCCCACCATGAAGAAGAAAGTGAGGAGGTCACTTACCGTGCACCAGTCTCTGTTCCTGAACCATGAGGGACCTGTACTCTTCCCATTTCTCCTGCAGTGTTTGCTGCAAAACACAAACAGCAGTAAGCCTGTGAGAAATCATGGACCCAGTCTGAAAAGATGCCAGAATCGGAGGTGCCGGAGCCCTGAGGAGATAATGGTGGGGGTAGGGGGCGAGTGGGGAGGGATGGTTCAGGAGCAAGTCCCCCCAACAAAACCTGAAACAACAATTTCCATTCCAATAGCGCCTTCCACCAACCTCAGGGCATCCCAAAGCACTTTACAGTCAGTGAAATGCCATTGAAAGGTGTTCACTGTTATAATACCGGCAACACAGCAACCAATTACCGCAAATAGCAAGCCCCCATAAACAGCAATGAGGTAACAACCAGAAAATGTGTTTTGTGATCTGTACAAGAAAACAAAAGAAAGAACTGCAGAAGCTGGAAGTCAGAAACAAAAACAGAAATTGCTGGAGAGATTCAGCAGGTCTGGTAGCATCTATGGAGAGAGAAAGCAGAGTGAACGCTTTGGGTTCAGTGACCCTTCTTCAGAACCTGTTCCCGAAATGGACCTGAAATGTTAATTCTGCTTTCTCTCCATAGATGCTGCCAGATCTGCTGAGATTTTTTTTCCAGTAATTTCCATTTTTGGTCTTAACTTTTCTGTTTTGTTGGCTGAGGGACAAATATTGGCCAGGACGCCAGGGGGAAAGTCCCTTGCTCTTCTCCAAATTGTGTTAATGGGATCCTTTTATATCTATCATAAAAAGCATGATGTGATCTCAGTTGAACATGGTATCCGAAAGATAGCACCAACAACAGTGCTGGCCTCCTTCAGCACTGCACTGGAGTGTCAGCCTGGAAAATTGTTCTCTGGTTTCTGGTCTAAAACTGTCTGGTACCTCAAACCCTCAGCCCACTTGATCAAAGAATGAGGAAGCCCAAAATGCAGTTATACAAAACTCTGGTTAGACCCCACTTGGAGTACTGTGAGCATCGCACCTTAGGAAGGATGGTTTGGCTTGGAGGAAGTACAGCATCGGTTTACAAGAATGATACCTGGATTTCAGGGGTTAAGTTATGGGGAGAGATTATACAAATGAGGCCTGTTTTCTCTAGAATTTAGAAGGATAAAGGGTGATCTGATAGAAGTCTTCAAGATAGTGACAGGAAAGATGAAGATAAACTATTTCCATTGGTTGGGGACTCTAGAACCAGGGGCGTAGTCTGAGTTTGTGAATTTTGCCCTTTCACTAGATGCCCCAGCCAATCATTAAGTAAATGCTCTGAGGCCCAAAACACAGCAAGATGCCACTTACCTTCAGATATTGCAGTCTGGTTTCCAACTCAGCCCGCCTGATAGAGGTTCCATACACCGTCTCCAGCCTGTCAGTGTGGGAATGTATCAGTTAATTGACTTTTCAAAATGCATTTTCTCTCTTCGCCTCTACTTATTCTTTGGCAGCTTTTCCACTGACTCTATCTCAACACTGGCATTAACCCACCGTCTTCCTCTACATAATGCATTGCTTCCCAGTTCACTGCCAACTCTGTGCCACGACCAGCCATTGAATTGCAAACAACATGGTGAGATATCTCCCTCTGTCCATTCGTCACCAAGGGGACTCTCTCCCAGCTGACATGGCCTCCAGTGATCCCACGTCGACAGGAAATTTGCCATGTGGCTCACACCAGTGGAGCCATGAGGCATTTTGTTACATAAGGTGGTACCGAGGTACAGAGACCAGGTTCTTAGTCTGTGTCAACTGATCCTGGCTGGAGTGGTGAGAAAGGTTTGAATGTCTGAAATTATATACAGGAAAGACCAAAGAGCCAGGATCCAGTACTTCTTTTTTAATAATCTGTTCATGAGATGAGGGTATTGCTGGCTGGACCAACATTTATTGCCCATCCCTAATTGCTCAGAGGGCAGTTAAGAACCAACCACATTGCAGCGGGTCTGGAGTCACATGTAGACCAGACTGGGTAAGGATGGCAGAAGCAACACAGCGGGGAGTTGGAGGAATACAGCAGGCCAGACAGCATCAGAGGAGCAGGAAAGTTGACGTTTTGGGTTTCTTCTGAAGAAGGGTCCCCGACCCAAAACATCAACTTTCCTACTCCTCTGATGCTGCCTGGCCCGCTGTGTTCCTCCAGCTCCACACTGTGTTATCTCTGACTCCAGCAGTTCTTGCTGTCTCTGGGTAAGGATGGCAGTTTCACCAGAGAACCAGATGAGTTCTTCCCACCATCCACAATGGTTTCATGGTCATCATTAGACTCTTAATTCCAGACACTTATTGAATTTAAATTCTACCATCTGCCATGGTGGGATTCAAACCTGGGTCCCCAGATCATTACCTGGTTCTCTGGATGAGCAGTCCAGCGATAATACCATGAGGCCATCATGTCCCCTTGATTGATCGTGATCTGGTGACATCTCCCGCCCCCTGTTGGAAAATGCATACGTACCAAAATTTGATGAGGAACACAAAATAATGAGGCAGTGGCCCAGTGGTAATGTTCCTGAACTAATAATCCAGAACGCCAGGCTGATGTTGTGGGGATATGGGTTCTGTTCCCACCATGGCAAATGAATTCAACTTTTATTCAAAAAACTGGAAGGGAAAAAGGAGTCAAATGATAACCATGTAACCGTTGCTGACTGTCAGACCATCTGGTTCACTAATGTCCTTTAGGGAAGGAAACTGCTATCCTTACCTGGTCTGGCCTACATGTGACTCCAGACCCACAGCAACGTGATTGACTCTTAACTGCCCTCTGGGCAATTAGGGATGGGCAATAAATGCTCAAACCAGCCAGTGACACACACGTCCCGTGAATGAATTACAAAGAAGCTTGTGTTTAGGCCCGTGTATGATAACGATTCCTTGAGGGTTGTCACGGAAACCAACCTTAGCAAGAATGAGTACATTCAACAAAAGATGGAAGAGAAGAATACCATTTTACAACACAAAACGTCATTTCAATATTGATGAGGAAAAACAGTGTGACTCA